CACGGCTAAAAACGCTGAACCCGCTGTTTAACAGGATTGAACAATGTTTTGCTGCCCACGCTGTTCACACTTGTCAACAATATTGAACAATGTTACTCTGAGTGTATATCCACACCGGGCAAGCTTGAAAAATATGTCTGGCCACGGTGGGAGTCGAACCTACGATCTTTGAAATAGACCATTGCTCTGCCAACTGAGCTACTTATTTCAAAGGTTGTAGGTTCGGTTCCCATCGTGGCCAGACATATATTGAACACTATTGTTGAGCCTAGATCGGGTGTAATAATATTGTTCAATATTGTTGACAACTGTGAACAATGTGGGCAACAAAACATTGTTCAATCCTGTTTTCATCAATATTGCAACAACCTGAGTGTTTTTGCGAGTGCCCAAGGCATAGTCACAGAATAGAAACAAACACACTGACTCAGAACACCGCGGAAAAACGTCTGCGCATGCGTCAACCTTACCTGTAATAGTATTGCGAACTTAATGAGAAGCTGTTCCGAACGTTTCCGAAGGCTCAAAATGGCGGTAAAAAGGAGTGACTTCATTGTGTGTCTTTACAGCCAGATTTCGAGCGCAAAAATAAACATGTCATTCTAAAAACTAGGAATAACTACAGCCAGAAGGTTCAAGAAATTGTATTGTACAAGAACATGAACTAAAGGTGATTGTTGACAAATTTATCGTCTAAAACATTTTGTTTATCAACTAAGCAACGACAATTTCCGAATTTTCGTTTGAGATACATTTCTTTAAAAAAAACTGTGTCGCCAAATATAAAAAAAATTCGTGTTCACAATAATTAAACTTTAGGATTTATTCTACAATTTGAGTGGGTTAAGAAGCTTAACTTTTCGAGAGTTTTCTTAACTTTTGAGTTCGAATTTTTGTTTTGAATAATTTTGCAAAAATTTTCGAAGTCGTATCCGTTAAAATCAACAATTTTTTACATGAATTATATTTTATTCCATACTTTAAATGCCAGGACGCTTTCAATTAATGTCTAGTCTACCATTTGCTATATTTTCTCGTTTGTTTTACTAATTTTTGACCAATTAATAAGCATGTTTTTGTTTTAGAAATTGATATTCAAATTCCCCGCCATATTTTCATAATTTGGTGCATGCGCAGACGTTTTTCCGCGGTGTTCTGACTCA